CCGAACAAATATCCATCAACAACGTCGGAGTCTTTGATAGCCCCATTTTCGACGACGGATTTAACTTAGTCTACACAATTGATAGTTTCTTCAACCTGAATTTCACCGTAGTGGATGTAGATGCGGCCAACGAACCCTAGGTCCGATATTCATCCTCTAGATGAAAACAACTGTAAATTGTTTTGCTGCTTTCTGCTCAATTTTCCCTCGATTTTATTTGGTCATTTTTTTATGCTGTGTTATTTAGTTTGTTGAGATATTTGTGTGCTATGTTTTTTCTGTTGTTCAGTAATTGATTAATTCTGTGATCCTTTTAATCTCTCGAACTGCAGCTGATTGGATTTTTGGGAACTCTGTGAAACCGTGGACAGTTTTTGCAGCGATGGACAAGGAATCAGTCCAGTTTTCCGGGGTTTTTGTAGGCCTCTCTTCTTTGTTCATCAGGCATTTGGCTCCGTGCAAAGTGATGTGGAATGATATGGATGAGATGGCGAATGGGACTGTTGTTTCCAACAATGTGAGTGGCTTTAGTTTGGAGATTATCAAGGATGAAGTTGATATAATGATGGTGAATTGAGTCGAAATCACTTTCCCAGAACTGTACGAAAGCGAGTGGCTGGAGGTTCACGGGATCGAGTGGTGATTGCTTTGCCGGAGATTGGGGACGAAGAGATGGAAGTGACTGAGGATTTTCCGATGGAGGAAGACAATAACTCGATGGCTCTGGATAATGGGAAATTTTGAGGTCAGTTGTTGCTAGTTTACTGAATGAAACGTCTCTCTTTTACACTGAAGAATTTTTTATGTCTTGAAAAGAGAATGAGAGCTTTTAATATTCTTAGAATTGGAAATTGGGATTTAAGAGAATATGTGAATTGTGAAAATTTCACTAATGGAACCTTGAATGAGATTTCTTGTTGAAAAGTGGCTCGGTTTATCAACGAGGAGAAAACAAGCATCGAGGAGAAGAGATGTGAAAATGGGGATTCGAAGGTCGGAAAAGTGATGAGTTGCGTTTCGTATTTTTTTTATGGGTCCGATTCTCATTTTTTCTAATTTACGTGTGCTAAGTTTTGGGAAAAAACAATTAAAGTATCCTGTTTTTGAGTTAGTTCGATGTTTTATTTGATGTTTATCTATGATTTTTTTTTAAGATGAGAGCTTGAATAATCTGTTGAAGCTTTTTATAAAGTAGATTTTGTAGTGTTAAATGTCTTTACGTGTGTTAATTTCTGGAAATTTTTTTTATAGTTTTTTGAGTGTTAATTTGATGTTTATCTATGATTTCTTAAAACTGTGAGCTTGAAAAATATCTAGAAGTTTTTTTTGGTTAAGTATTTTTTTGAGTGTTAAATTTCTTTTTTTGTTGTGCATGTTTGATTTTAAATTAATGAGTTGCTGGATTTACGATCTGAGTTACTCCGGCGAAAAATTCCAACTGGACCTTCGTCCACCACCGGCAGCTGCACCTTCGCATTCGGCGACGGATGGAAAATGTGACCACTGCAAATCGTGAGGAATTGGTAGAGAGCTGTCTGGCTTGAATAGTTTGTAATTAAGTTCTTTGAAAACAACCTTTTCATATTTAGTTTGATGTTTATTTGAGTTGATTTTAGTTATTGATTGTATTCTTTTGGTTTATCTATGGTTTATATTTAGTTTATTTATTGCTTTTGATTTTTATGATTTAGTTATTAATTGTATTCTTTTGGTTTAAATATTAGTTATATTGATTTTTGTTTTTTATGATTTAGTTATTGATTGTATTCTTTTGGTTTATCTATAGTTTATCTATTGTATTCTTTTGGTTTATCTATGGTTTATATTTAGTTTATTTATTGCTTTTGATTTTGTCCTATTTAAATTTTTTATGATTTATTAGAAAAATAGATAATATACTTAAGATATACTTAAGATTAACTAGTTTTTTATGATTTATTAAAAAAATAGATAATATACTTATGATATACTTAAGATATACTTAAGATTTAACCAGATTTTTTTTATTATTTAGTAAACAAATAAAAAAATATACTTAAAATATACTTATGATTAACCATAAATTCAAATTAATTTTTAATAGAGATAATGTAATAAGTTTAAGATAAAGTGAAACTTATCTTAAGTGTCTTCGACTAATAAAATTACCTTAAGAGATTACAAGCAATCAAGCATAAAAAATAACATCATTATCTATTTATCAGATTTTGGAATTAAGAAAAGTTAAATTACGTAAAGTGGTAAGTAAATAAATTGTATCGTATTAATGTCTTTACCCAAACCAACTAGGAACAAGTATGTACTTAAGCCAAAAAATAAATTATATATATATTTCTAACAATAATAGAAATGTTTTTAATAGAAAAATAAAATTATTTATCAATTAATATATTTATATTTCAAATTATATGATATAAGTTATAAAAAATACCATAATATAACACATGTAAGTTGGACAAGTAACAAATGCCATTCTAAAATATATAATAATATATTTTTTTTAAAAAAAGTAAGTAAATTTAAAAATAAATTTCCTCATTAATTTTAATTTAAGAATAACTTTTTAACAAACACCCGTGTAATACACGATCGTTGTACTAGTATAATGTATATGTATGAATTATATGTAATTAAGTATTTCATTGTTTTAAATTGTCTAAATATTTAATTAATAATGTTGATATATATAAATTTATTACATAATGTGTTATATATATTTAATCATATGAACACTTAACTTATGACATTGATACAATACAAAGATTTTGTATTTATCATTTTTGTAAGGGTGTGTTTGTATATAAAATAACTCAATTCAATCCATACTCAAAATCAAACACCATTTTATCTCCACTCAATTGTCATCAATATTATCAATTCAATAAATAATATCAATTGATCATTCTTACACATCACATTAATTTTCATTCATTATTCATCCACACACATAATTTCAGTTAATTATTACTTCACACCACATCTCTCATACTTTTACATCAAATCAATTTTAATATTTTATTTTAAATATTATTTTAATATAAACTTAAAATCTTACTAATAACTAAATATACTTTTTTTTTTCAAAATTAATTATAATTAACCAATAAAACTCGTTTTGAGCATATATATTTGTATCCAAGGTCCTTAAAAGAGTGTGGAGGGTAAAAACAAAAGTTGTGGGCTGAAAGTGTAATGGTAAGAAAGTTATTGGGCCCAAAAAGTATGGAAAAAATGATAAAAAAGCTCTGTGCCCGTCAATGGCGTACCTCTTTTTCCAACTCGTAAAAGGTGTTGACGAAAACCCAATCCACCTCCTCCACATTCCTGAATTGCTGGATCATCATCCTGGATCTCTTCGGATCCGATTCATATCCTCCAATAAACGAAGGCGTGTCACCGGGTTTCAAGATGGGCAGCCCGCCGGGGATCCGAATCTCGGGCTCTGAAAGCGGGAGCTTCAGTTCGCCCTTGTACGCGTGGAAGTATATATTATTCACCGAATTCGACTGTGTGAAAAACATGGCGACCTTTAACCCGAATCTCTTGGCTACATCCAGCGCCCATGGGTAAAACGGGTCGTAGATCAAGCAATCCACGCCGGATCCGGTTCCCTGGAGCCTCTCGAGCAGCCGGGCCAGGGACTCCGACCCGGAATCCCAGCACCGTTTTTTGTAGTCGTCTGGATCTGCCTTCCCGAGGCCGCCGTCGTCGAAGCCGTCGGAGATGGTCTCCACGGGGAAATCGGCGGCGGGGAAGTGCTGGGCGGTTTTAAGGAAGAATTTGGTGAGGGCGATCGTGATTCGGGTTATTCCTTTGTGCTTGAGGCGTTTGGCGAATTGGAGCATGGGGTTTATGTGGCCTTGCAGTGCAAATGGGAGAATTAAACAGTGGAGTTTGGCCGTGGGCGTCTCCATGATTGAGTGGTGGTTGAAGCCGAGAGATCGAATAAAGGTCCATTAATATAATTTCGTTGCTTAATTTAATATTACAAGTCATTGACTAATTTTGAGTTTTGGCACAAATCATGTTGACCTCATCAATAATTAGCAATGTTTTAAAATGCGTCGTATTGTGGTCTTTATATTGCGTAGCATAAATAGTGCGTGTTGCGTAAGCTATATTAGTATAAAAAATTATTTTTATACTCAAATAAACAGTGGGTTTGAGCTTTTTCCATGACTGAGTGGTGGTTAGGGTTGTAAACGAATCGAATCAAAGCGAATACTCAGAGATTCGATTTGAATTTGTTAAAATATTCAAAGATTCGAATTCGTATTCGATTCGTTAATGAACTAATTTTTTGATTCGTATTCGATTCGTTTAAAATATTCGAACATATTCAATACGATTCGAAATTCGTTTAAAAGAAAATTATAATTAAAAAAATATTATAATTACAAAAAATAATTTTTATTTTTCATATATTTTTAGAAAAATTTGTTAATTAAATGATTTTTTACTTTTTATGTCATAAAAATAGTAGGAATGTAACTATATATATATATACATATATATTATAAACAAAATGTATACTATTATAATTTATAAAGTTTATATAATTATTATTAACGAATCGAATATTCGAATTTCGAATCGAATATCTACAAATTCGAATTCGAATTCGTTTAACTTTCGAATATAAAACATTATTCGTGTTCGAATTCAAATTCGAATCACGAATATCGAATTCGAATATCGAATCGAATCAAAAAAATTTGATTTGTTTACAAGTCTAGTGGTGGTTGAAGCTAAGAGATCAAATAAAGTTTCATTAATATAAGAGAATGTTACGGTCTCGTTACGGTACGATCCCGTTACGGTACGATTCGTCCAGAATTTCCTATCAATATAATTTCATTGCTTAATTAAAAATTATTAGTAAAAGTGATTGACTAATATGGAGTTTAAAATTTGCTACTTCGCACAAATCATGTTGACCTCATCAATTATTTATCAGTAGGGGTGTCGGACACTAGTATAGTATTGTCTTCCTACTTCACTATTTTCAAATTTTGGGAACTTTATGGGTTAAAATTACATATTTTATTATTAGATTTGAATAGACATTAATTATTAAGAAAATCAATAACCTAAACTTATAAATGAAATTAAGGGTTTGATTGTATACCAATTAATTTACTCACTTTTATTTCAACTCAAAATCTAACTCAACTTTAACTCAATCCCACTATCTTTAATATTATTCATATAATTAAATAAT